GCTCTATACTATGTTAACAGAATTACGTATTTAAGAGAAATATGCATAATTGCACTCATTTCTTGTCTGTTCAAGAGTTCTTTACAGGTTTCTTCTGATAATAATTTGATTCATTTATGCATACTTGTAATCAGGGCCTATACTCTCCTTTACCTTTCTCACTCAAGGCTTTTTTTTACCACTTGAATCACCATTCCTTTTCTAGCTGTTCAACATCTTATTGGAAATAAGAGTCTCATACACTTACCTGACCAGGCTGATTTCAAACCTTTTCTCACATTTAAATTTCTAAAACATACCTGGCTAAGTAACTTACCATAGCTTTCTATAAACTAAATTTTTAGTTGACAATAAAAAATGTTTGGCAAAATATATTGTGTGCTTATTCTTTTGTTGAGGGCATGATGTTTAACAAAGAAAATGTAAGCCGGGCGCCAGTGGCTCATACCTAGCTACTCAGGAGGCTGAGACCTGAGAATCATGGTTCAAAGCCAACCCAGGCAGGAAAGTCTGAGAAACTTTTATCTCCAATAAAGCACCAGGAAACCAAAAGTGTTGCTGTAGCTCAAGTGGTAGAGTGCTAGCCTTGAGCTGAAGAGCTCAGGGACAGCCCTCAGGCCCAGAGTTCAATGCCCATGATTGACAAAAAAAAAAAAAGAAAGAAAATGTAATTAATTTTCAAATTCCTCAGTGAGTTAATCAAGATATAATCAAAATACTCATCACTTTCTATTGCATTTTTTACTTTCTTCCTTATCTATTTAAGAAATTTCATTAATAGACTTGAGCTTATATCATTGATTAAAATGCAGAATCCTCATTGTGTAATGTGAAATTATTGGGAGATTTCAGTGAATTTACATATTCTTTTATAGTCCTGCTAATTTTTCTGAGTTAGGATTTCAGTAAACTTATACAAAACTTTATCTCTTAAATGAAGAAATTCTTTATCTCTCCCTAGTTTTCCTCAATCCAAACAATTAATGCAAAAATTGTGTATTAGGATTACAGAGCCCATTCTCTCTCCCTGTTAATGACTAACTTCTGACAAGAGATGGTATTGCTAATTGCAATACAATAGATCATAGCTTTGAAATATATACTTAGTAATATTTTCCAGGCTATTCCAGGCAAAGTTATCTCCAGGAATCCTTATTATAATTAATCATTAGGACAAGTCTAAATTCTAACAGGAAATTAAATGTCTTATTGAGGAGAATGTTGATCTTAAAAGTTATATTTTATAAGCACAGAAAACATGGATCACACATATCTTTATTTCTCAGTACCCAGGCACAGGACAAGGGCTCAGTAAGCTAGATTCAGTATAAAAAGTGAGCATGAATATAGAGTGCCCAAGAGTGGTCAATCTGTAACTACAGCTTCACAGGTGAGCAGGCAAGCCAAATCTAATGAGATGAATCAAGGATAATATGCCACAGGGTATAATTGTTTTACAAAAACATGTAGGAGCCGGCTGGTGGCTCACGCCTGTAATCCTAGCTACTAAGAAGGCTAAGATCTGAGGATCGTGGTTCAAAGCCAGCCCGGGCAGGAGAGACCATGAGACTCCTATCTCCAATAAACCACCAGAAAACCGGAAGTGGCACTGTAGCTCAAGTGGTAGAGCGCTTGCCTTGAGCTGAAGAGCTGAGGGACAGCGCTCAGGCCCAGAGTTCAAGCCCCATG